GAACAATTCATTTGAAAGATGGATGTCTCTACCAATGTCTATGATTGGGAGAATAAATACAGTTAAAATGAATATACTGCCCAAGTTACTTTACATATTTCAGAATGTTGCTCTTCCACCTCCTCCTGAATTCTTCTCCCAAATAAAGAAGAGGATGTTACGTTTTTTGTGGAAAAACAGAAAATCCAGACTCCGTTTGTCTTAACTATATCTCCCTTATGACCGTGGGGGCTTGAATTGCCCAAATTTTCACTTGTACTACTATGCTGTGCAGTTGAGATCTATGATGTTTTATTACAGTGATCAGTCGCCGCACTGGGTTGACATGGAGACTCAGGATTTAAAAGTGACTCTCCCCTCATACTTCTATTCAGATTCAGTATCAAAGCTTTTGAAACATACTAAAAATCAATTTCTTAAAAACATGATAGGCGTATGGAGAGATGTAAAAAAAAAAATTCATGAGCCACACTGCTTGTCTCTGTTCAGCCCAGTGTGGGGTAACCAATTCTTTCTACCCGGTAGAGCTGACTCAACCTTTAAAGCATGGAAAAACAAAGGACTCCAGATGATTCGGGATTTTTATGCATCAGACTCAGACATACTAATGAGTTTTCAGGATCTACAACAAAAATTCCATCTGGATAAGAAACATTTCTTTAAATACCTTCAACTCAGAAACTTTATAAGAACGAGTCAAAATAATGTGCTGGCTAAACCTGCCAAATCAGCTTTGGAAAAAATGTTAACAAGGGATAGTTTAAAGGCAGGTATTATATCAGAGTTCTATCACTCACTGATGTTGCATACATCTGAGGGATCTCATGACAGACTTAATGCTTGGAAGGGTGATTTACAATTAGAGTTATCTGGGGAAGAGTGGCAAACAGCATGCAAATTGGCCCATACCAGCTCTATCAACACTGCACTGAAAATGAAACAATTTAAATGGTTAATGCGGGTTTATGTAACACCAGTGGACCTCAACAGATATAATGGGGTAATACCTGATGTATGTCCAAAGTGTACAGTGGATAGAGGAACTTGGATTCATTGTGTGTGGTACTGTAGGAATATTATATTGTTTTGGAAAGAGGTAAAAGATGCAATTGAGGAAATTATTTCCAAACAAATAATTATGGATCCGAAGCTGTTTGTGTTTGGACTAAGCCCAGACAAACATAACTACACTAAAAACGAATTAATTTTTATAAACTTAGGTCTGCTTAATGCAAAAAGATGTATATCACTTTTCTGGGGGAAGTCCCATAGACCGACTATAAAACTGTGGTTGCAACAGATGGCATCTACCCTCCCTCTGGAAAAGATTACATATGTATTAAAGGGTAAACAGAATCAGTTTGAATCCATATGGAATCCCTTTATTAGGTATGTCCAACATCTGAACTTCTTGGAAGACGGCGCAAATGACTGAAGATTCTGCTCACTGCGGTTCCCAAAGAAAATTCTGTTAAAGGACATGCACTGCTGAAGTAATTATTTCAGTATACGGATGAGGTGTAGACTATGCGATGGGTTACATTGGAACTAAGAATGTGGGAGACATTTTGTTGTTTTTGTTCTGTGTTGTGTATTTCATTGTAACTTGAACCAAACTACTATTATAACTGACATTCTTTGTTAAATGTTCAAGCGGTTTGTCTTAACTGTTAAAATTTCAATAAAGATATTTTGGGAAAAAAAAACGTCAGGATTATCCTAAGCTCTACAAAAATAAAAACGCATACAAGGAAAAAAATTGAGACATAAGAAAAACACAAAAAAAAATAGAAAATACATATAATAAAGAGGCCATGGTCACTCACACTGGGCCTTATTCGGATGACAAAAGACTCGTTCTAAAAGAGACTTAAATTGGAGCAATGATGCTGGTCTTAGATTTTAAAGGAAATGTTCAGCTGCTCTCAGATAAGTCTGGAGTAAACCAGCGAGCCACTGTAAAAATTTAAATAGATCTATTTTTTTTCATGAAATAAGTGTATTTTCCTTTGATTCTAGCAGGTGACAATATGCTAATGGAATAAGAATAATTACCTTTATTTTAAGTCCTAATCTTTTAATTATAAACTCTATATTATATTAATTTAAAGAAAATTTTACTTAGTTTTAGTTTAGTTTGTGCAATGTACAAAAAGCAGGACCATTTATAAGCCAACATTCACATTTTAAGATCCATTTTGCAGCCAATAAAGGAGTACAAGTTGGCTGAGTTCTGCATAAGTGAGACGTGCAAAGAAGTGCGGCTTTGAAATGTTCAAGTTGAGATAAATGCAGGTTAGGGTTTCTTATTTGCCTTAATTAGAAGAAGCCTTTTTTTGTTCTAAACAGAACTGGTCTTTTAACCATTAGCTAAAAAAACAGAAGAAAGTTGGTTTTGGCTCCTACAGGAAGCACTTAGGTATGCTTTGTTCACTGTTCAGGTAAAAGTTGAGTTTTGTAATCACCTGTAATCCGCTTGGGTCGGTCACCAGCCAGTTTCTCAGCACATCTACACCCTTAAATATACAGTTAGACAGGATGAAAGTGACGTCTCCACTCTTTTGTTTTAAAGCATTGTAAAACATTTCTATATCAGGATCTGAAGTCGTGCCACTGGCTCCCTGTGAGAGAACTGACTTTAAATCCATAACAGTTTTATTTACCCCATTTACACTACCCTTGAAAAACCGTGCTGAGACCAGTCCGAGCTCAGTAACTGAGATAACTTATCGTGTGTAAATGGAAAGCAAACTGAACTGAACTGAGCTAGACACAACCGAACCGAGCTGCAGACCAGTTCCAGAGGTGGGCTCAGCTTGGTTCTCTGATAACAAGAGCACATGAGCAGAACGCATTATCTCCGTCTGACTGCGCATCCCGATTCACACTCCATTCCAGTAGTTGGCGGTAATGCCTCTCCAGAAGTTGCTTGCCAACCAATACAAAACAGAAGAAGAACAACTATAAACAACTATAAACATCCACGAAAGGTTGTCGTCTTCGCCTGACCCTCCGCAAACACCGAAGTACAGCAATAATAATCAAGCATAACTTTCTGAATGTGACGGGCGCCGCCATTTTGATTTGCTTGATTCCCTCCCCCTTCGTCTTCTTCTTGTGTTTTATGGCGGTTGGCAAACAACTTTTGGTGCATTACCGCCACCAACTGCTTGATTTCTTCCTTCAATACTGGCAGTAATACCGCAGATCATCACTAGGAGGCGAGGAGTCGAGGAACCGAGATAGCGTGATGTGTAAAAACTCGTCAGAACCAAGCCTGGCCTGGTTAACTGATCCAAGCTCGGACAGGTCTCGGCATGGATCGGTTTTTCAAGGGTAGTGTAAATGGGGTAATTGTCAGTGGATCAACCTCCCAAACCCAGAACTAGAACCAAACATGGAGAAGCAGCATTTAGTTCCTATGCTCCACTGATCTGGAACAAACTCCAAGCAGACGTGGAAAAGTGCTACCTGTATTAATCATGCTTTTATCTTTATTTGCATTTATTCACCTTTTATTTTCATATAAAGCACTTTGAATTGTCTTTGTACTGAATTACAAATAAACTTGCCTTGCCTATACACTAGAGTTTATTCCAGCCTCACTTTCTTCAAGCTAACGTTAGTTTAGGTTGTATGGAGTTTAAAATCCAAACATGGCTGTGTTCAAACATCTGCTCTAACCCCTAAACCCCTCAATCACTACATTATATAGCTGACTTTATAACGAACTCAGTTAACTGATTGTTCGGACAGATGATCACCAGTTTTCGCTCCCCGTTGGTCACTTAACTCCGCCTCCCTGTGGTGCCTGCACCATCTTTATATTCATTATTAGCTGCTACAACAAATCTGGTGATGCTCTGCGAGGAGAGCTCTTGCAAAGCATCCTGGGATACATCTGCTCGTCTAATGACCATCAATGATCATTACTTTTCAAGGTGCATTGTGGGAAAATTTGAGTCCACTACTTTTTCATCCACTAGACACTAGGACACTCATATAGAATGACGTAACAGCTATATAGTGATATTAGGGATTGAAGGGTTTATGAAAACCGTCCGAACCGTTCAGTTCGACTGTCTCGGTTCGGTTCGCGTGTGTTGCGTTCGGTTCATGCGCTGCTCCTTTTTCTCATAGGCGAAGCGTTTACACTCCAGAGCAGAAGGTGGCGGTACTGCGACTAAAGCCAACCACCAGTAGTAAACAAGAAGAGGAAGAAGAAGCGAAGCCGCGTAGCTGGGTGTAGCAGAGAAAAATCAGTTGTGGAGAATTGTGTCGGAATGGAGAGTGGGAAAGAACAGGAATTGGAAGACGCGCCAGCAGCACTTTATAGGTCTGCTGTATGGGACCGCTTTGCATTTAGAGTGACCTACGATGACGGCGGAAAGAAAGTTGTGGATTAAAGTGCAACAGTGTGCAAGCATTGTGGAACACGTTTTGTTTATGCTAACAGCAACACGACCAACATGTCATGCTAACCCCGAAATCCCACATACTCCCATCAGCGCTCCAGACCGCCTGCGCAAAGCAAAGCCTACAGCCTCCACTGTGGCTCCCGTCCGCTCCCCTCTGAGTCCCTTGGAGATCGTAGAGGGCATGCGCGAGATGATTAAATTTAAAGCAGCAAAACATGCGGAAATGATCCAGGGTTTCCGCGGATCATTAAAAAATTAACAATTCATTAATTTATTTTTTTTTTTTCATTAATTTCATTAATTTTTATGGGATTTTGGTGTAACAATCAACATATACCGAACCGAACCGAAAACCGTGACCACAAAACCGTGAACCGAACCGTGGGTTTTGTGAACCGTTCCACCCTTAAGTGATATACATATAGTGATTATGGTATATGTTCAGACACAGCCCTAACTCCAAATTTTACCTCCTTTCTGTTTTTCTTCCTCCAGAGGTAGAGCCTGAGCCAGCCAGACAACCAGGCGAGCGCCCCGCTAAGCGTCGCTGTTTCTGGGAGTACCGGCGCTCTCGAGAGTTGGCCACCAAGAAGAAGCTGGGCAGCAATGTCCACTGGTCCCTGTCCTGGAGCTCCAGCACCCTCCCCAGCACCCTGTACCGCCGAGAGGGTGAGAAGTGTTTCTAGACACTTAGACAGATTTTTGTTTTAATTGGTTTGTCTTTCCACATTCGACAAGGATGCAGCTATGAACTGAGAAGCTAACTGGCTAATTAACTGAAAATCACAGCTGTTAATGACAGCGGTGAAAGCAGAACCACGGCTCCACCAAAGCTCAGCAGCAGGAGTCTCTTCTTTCCTCTCAACTTAGACACCAGATAAGGCCTGTGTCCTACATGCAACTTTTATGTCAACCTTTGAAGGTTTTAGCATCTGATAAGTGAGTCTTACATCACCAGCTAAAGCATTAGCTTAGCTGGCCGTGATCTCAAGCATAAGACCTGATTTTACAGTCCATTAACCTGATCCACGCTAATGGCTGAAAGTCAGCAATGTTTTTAAAGCTAAGCCAAAGTGCAGCCACGTCATCTGAACCTTTCCGTTCACACGCCTCTACAGCGTTTGAATAAAAACAAGCATTTAGATGATGATTGGCTACTGTTGGTTAGTGTAAGCGGAAGGTTTAGATTTCTGTTATTCAGGGTTTATTGAGCATATAGCCAATAACTTTTAAAAACAACATATGAGTGCAGGAGTTTGTCTTTATTCGAACCGTTATTTATTTATTCATTCCTGCTCAAAATCCTGCATACATGCTAAAATATGTGCATACTGCTCTGTGAAATCTACCTTTGCACCTCAGCGACACATTTTGTTTTCCATTGACAGGTTTCTTGGGAAATCTTAGCTGGGTATTTCATCCATCCTCTTTTCAGTGTTGCTGGCGTTTATTTCAGCTTTTTTCTTGAGGGTTTTTATTTTCTTCTTCACACGGGTCTCCTTAATATCAAAGCCTTTTCAATGCTGTTTCGCACCAAACACATTTTAAGCATCAAAAAGGTGTCAAACGCCTCATCTTGGACCTTTGTGTTGATTGAAGTCAGGCGCACATTGAGAGTATTTGTGATGCTCGTCGAGTAGAGTGTGCAGATTCTTCTGATCTGCTTTGCTGACCTCTTGTGCACAATGGCAAATGCAGTGAAGAGAGAGGCTTTGCTTTATTTGCTGTGAGAAGTGGGAAAAAGCGGTGTTTTTAAAATAGAAAGTATACCTCAAAACGTCTTTGGCGCTGTCAATAAGGATCTGGATCCTATATTTAAATATTCTGTAGCTTTTTGAAGCAGCAGACCTCCATAAATCGGTGGAGGAGTTATCACTGGGAATCCAGCGTTAGCTCCCTCAGACCGGCCAGGCTCTTGGGGATTTCTCGTTGCTGTTTGCAGCAGATGGAAGACAATATAAGCATTTTTTAGAACCAGAATATAGATAATATATATATTTTTATGTAGGTATTTAACTTTTTCACTGTGGGCCAGTAACAAAATATTAAAATAGAATGATCAGAGCACATGTACTTTTCTCTCTAAATGAAAATATACAAACTCCTGTTTTTGTTTAAGTAAGGCTAGTAGAGCATAACACCTCTAAATAAATATATTCTTGTTTATTTTTGATGAGTAATGTTAACAGCTCTGCAGGGGCAGAGATCAAGGCCAGATCCATGATCAGCTTCTCTGATTGGTTTGTGTGTCTCATCAAGCTGCAATAGTTTTGATTTCTTCAACTGAAGCTTGTGATGCTTTGGACTAACTTGATCTGCATCGAGGCTTGGAAGTTAAAAACACTCTGTAGTGGATGCTCAAAACACTTCAGGATTTATGTCCACCACTAACCATGGACCAGCTGCCTTGATGCTCAAAGCATATTCGGTTGGAAAGTGGCATAATGTGAGCTTCCTTTATCTGTTCCAAAACCTATTTTAATGATTTTGAGATCATTGTTCCGGATAGAGTAGCCCCTTGTGTCCAAATATGAACCCATGGATCAAAAACTGTTCTTATTAGATGGAAGAAAATCCTCCCAGGGTTCAAAACCAGAGTGTGTGATGGACTGGTGACCTGTGCACAGTGGACCTCACCCATGGATGGATGGATGGATGGATGGATGGATGGATGGATGGATGGATGGATGGATGGATGGATGGATGAACAGACAATGGCTGGATGGATGGATGAACAGACAATGGATGGATGGATGGATGGATGGATGGATGAACAGAGGATGATGGATGGATGGATGGATGAACAGAGGATGGATGGATGGATGGATGGATGAACAGACAATGGATGGATGGATGGATGGATGAACAGACAATGGCTGGATGGATGGATGGACGAACAGACGATGGATGGATGGATGGATGAACAGACGATGGATGGATGGATGGATGGATGGATGAACAGACAATGGATGGATGGATGGATGGATGAACAGACAATGGATGGACGGATGGATGGATGAACAGAGGATGGATGGACGGATGGATGGATGGATGGATGGATGAACGGACAATGGATGGATGGATGGATGGATGGATGGATGAACAGACAATGGATGGATGGATGGATGGATGGATAGATAAACAGACGATGGATGGATGGATGGATGGATGGATAGATAAACAGACGATGGATGGATGGATGGATGGATGGATGGATGGATGGATAGATAAACAGACGATGGATGGATGGATGGATGGATAGATAAACAGACGATGGATGGATGGATGGATGGATGGATGGATGGATGGATGAACAGACAATGGCTGGATGGATGGATGGATGGATGAACAGACAATGGCTGGATGGATGGATGGATGGATGGATGAACAGACAATGACTAGATGGATGGATGGATGGATGGATGAACAGACAATGACTAGATGGATGGATGGATGGATGGATGAACAGACAATGACTAGATGGATGGATGGATGGATGGATGAACAGACAATGACTAGATGGATGGATGGATGGATGGATGAACAGACAATGGATGGATGGATGGATGGATGGATGGATGAACAGACAATGGATGGATGGATGGATGGATGAACAGCCAACGGCTGGATGGATGGATGAACAGACAATGGATGGATGGATGGATGGATGAACAGACAATGGATGGATGGATGGATGGATGAACAGACAATGGATGGATGGATGGATGGATGAACAGAGGATGGATGGATGGATGGATGAACAGAGGATGGATGGATGGATGGATGGATGGATGAACAGAGGATGGATGGATGGATGAACAGACGATGGATGGATGGATGAACAGAGGATGGATGGATGGATGAACAGAGGATGGATGGATGAACAGACAATGGATGGATGGATGGATGAACAGACGATGGATGGATGGATGGATGAACAGACGATGGATGGATGGATGAACAGACAATGGATGGATGGATGGATGAACAGAGGATGGATGGATGGATGGATGGATGAACAGACAATGACTGGATGGATGGATGAATGGATGAACAGACAATGGATGGATGGATGGATGGATGGATGGATGAATGGATGAACAGACAATGGATGGATGGATGGATGGATGAACACACAATGGATGGATGGATGAACAGACAATGGATGGATGGATGGATGAACAGACAATGGATGGATGGATGGATGAACAGACAATGGCTGGATGGATGAACAGACAATGGATTGATGGATGGATGGATGGATGAACAGAGGATGATGGATGGATGGATGGATGAACAGAGGATGGATGGATGGATGGATGAACAGACAATGGCTGGATGGATGGATGGATGGATGAACAGACGATGGATGGATGGATGGATGAACAGACAATGACTAGATGGATGGATGGATGGATGGATGAACAGACAATGACTAGATGGATGGATGGATGGATGGATGAACAGACGATGGATGGATGGATGGATGAACAGACGATGGATGGATGGATGGATGGATGAACAGACGATGGATGGATGGATGGATGGATGGATGAACAGAGGATGGATGGATGGATGGATGGATGAACAGAGGATGGATGGATGGATGAACAGAGGATGGATGGATGGATGAACAGACAATGGATGCATGGATGGATGGATGAACAGACAATGGATGGATGGATGGATGGATGAACAGAGGATGGATGGATGGATGGATGGATGGATGGATGAACAGAGGATGGATGGATGGATGGATGGATGAACAGATAATGGCTGGATGGATGGATGGATGGATGGATGGATGAACAGATAATGGCTGGATGGATGGATGGATGGATGAACAGATAATTGCTGGATGGATGGATGGATGGATGGATGAACAGACAATGGATGGATGGATGGATGGATGGATGAACAGACAATGGATGGATGGATGGATGGATGAACAGACAATGGATGGATGGATGGATGGATGGATGGATGGATGGATGGATGAACAGACAATGGATGGATGGATGGATGAACAGACAATGGATGGATGGATGGATGGATGAACAGACAATGGATGGATGGCTGAACAGACGATGGATGGATGGATGGATGGATGGATGGATGGATGGATGGATGGATGAACAGACGATGGATGGATGGATGGATGTATGAACAGAAAATGGATGGATGGATGGATGAACAGACAATGGATGGATGGATGAACAGATGATGGATGGATGGATGAATGGATGAACAGACGATAGATGGATGGATGGATGGATGAACAGACAATGGATGGATGGATGGATGGATGAACAGACAATGGCTGGCTGGATGGATGGATGGATGGATGGATGAACAGACAATGGCTGGATGGATGGATGGATGAACAGACGATGGATGGATGGATGGATGGATGGATGGATGGATGGATGAACAGACGATGGATGGATGGATGGATGAACAGACGATAAATGGATCGATGGATGGATGAACAGACGATAAATGGATGGATGAACAGACAATGGATGGATGGATGGATGGATGAACAGACAATGGATGGATGGATGGATGGATGAACAGACAATGGATGGATGGATGGATGGATGGATGAACAGACAATGGATGGACGGATGGATGGATGAACAGAGGATGGATGGACGGATGGATGGATGGATGGATGGATGGATGAACGGACAATGGATGGATGGATGGATGGATGGATGGATGAACGGACAATGGATGGATGGATGGATGGATGGATAGATAAACAGACGATGGATGGATGGATGGATGGATGGATAGATAAACAGACGATGGATGGATGGATGGATGGATGGATAGATAAACAGACGATGGATGGATGGATGGATGAACAGAGGATGGATGGACGGATGGATGGATGGATGGATGGATGGATGGATGGATAGATAAACAGACGATGGATGGATGGATGGATGGATGGATGGATGGATGGATGGATGGATGGATGGATAGATAAACAGACGATGGATGGATGGATGGATGGATGGATGGATGGATAGATAAACAGACGATGGATGGATGGATGGATAGATAAACAGACGATGGATGGATGGATGGATGGATAGATGGATGAACAGACGATGGATGGATGGATGGATGGATGGATAGATAAACAGACGATGGATGGATGGATGGATGGATGGATGGATGGATAGATGGATGAACAGACGATGGATGGATGGATGGATGAACAGACGATGGATGGATGGATGTTGGATGGATGAACAGAGGATGGATGGATGGATGGATGGATAGATGGATGGATGGATGGATGGATGGATGATAGCTACATCCAAGCCTGTCCTCCATTAAAGTCACTCGATGTTTGTTACCTGTTTGCTTTTAATAAAACGAAGTAAAAACGAGTAAAAACCCACCTGAGCTGGTAAACACAATAAGTCCTTTATTGAATCAGGATCAAGGACCATCTCCAATCTTTCAGAGGGCTTGAAATGGCCCCTGTGCCACATCTTGGACACAACTGTCCTAAGCTGACAGCTTTGTTGATGGGATGATGTAGATTGGTGACTAGCAGACATAGATAGTCGATGTTAGACGAATTATTCAAAAGCCTTAAGATCAGCTGAACGACATACATTGCTACTCTTTCCATTTACCATCTATTGTTATTGCTCTGTTTGATTTCCTATCAATTTTATATCACTCTAAAAATCACCCTAAAAATATCGGCAGCACATATCGGGTATCGGTCCGACTGATGTCAGTCAGTCTAACCGATCTCTAGTTTTGGTATGGCCAACAGAACATGATCCCAGAGCTGCATTAACGCTGATTTTGGAATGGATAAAGAAGGTAAACAGAATGACCTCCAGCCTCAGCTGTCTGTTTTTTTCACTGTTTCTACCTAAAAGAAAAGGTTCATGTTAAAGAACCAGCTAGTTTGAATGACCTGGACTAATTCTGCTGGGAAATGTAGTAAAATTAGAACCAAATTGGGCAAAAATATTGTTGTTGGCTACAAAGATAAGATGGTTTCTGTAAGTAAAATGGACCTAATGTTATAATATGAGCATCTTAATACTTTAACCTCTAAATAGATTTTATAATAAATGGAAATTTGTGCACATTTGTTTTGTTTTTTTATTAAAGGTATGTGTTGTAGCCTTGTTCATTCTGGAAGAGAAGTCGAAGTAAATAAATAATTGAAAGTCTAAAGTGAAACAGATTTCCATGATCCTTAGAGGTGGAAGTAAACTTCTGTCTGGTGCTGTAAAACCTTTTCAGGTCATGAGCTAATTTTACGGTCCTGTTTTCAGGTAAGAAAGGGCGCCGTAAAGCCCGCAAAACAGACGCCAGCGACCTGACACCCAACCCTCAGAAGCTCCATAACATCGGAGAGCAGCTGCAGAAGCTCAACGCTGCCATTAAGGGGATGGGTCCGGTCAACGACCTGCCGGCCGTAGCTCGAGCCCGATCCCGCAAGGAGAAGAACAAGCTGGCCTCCAGGTACCAGATCTTCCTCCCCATCCTACTGCTTTGATCATTTCAGTTTTTTTTGTTTTTATATTCTTTTAGTTTTTTTTAAGGCAAGGTGTGAATAAAAAAAAATAATAATCTCAATTCTCAAAATTAAGAAGAAAAGTATGTAGTTTTCAGATTAGTTTAGATATTTTCTTTCTGCTCAAACAGGCTCTAAATATAGCTTCTCTGGAAGACGATGAGGAAGGTGTATACAAAGGTTTTATTGAATCGATTCTCCTCCAGTTTTCCTTTAATCCTTTAAACTATCATGAGAAACTGGGTGGGAGTAGAAACAATGGCGAGATGCAGCATGACGGCTTTCCAGCTGAACATTAGGCAAGACGAAGGTTGCAGACAAGGTGTTAGATGCAGACGGACAGCCGGGTCAAACAAAGTTCATTTCTACTGTGAGGGAGGGGAAGAGGCTTTTATTTATTTATTTATCTAATATGGAAATCACTTATACGCTGGGTAAACCAGATGCAATGCTTGGGTGTGTTAGCACATGTACTAATGCTCAACACCAGTGCATCGGAGCCTTTAAAAAAAAGAAAATAATGCACAATACGGCATAAATAGATTACAAAGATTAGCATTAAAGCTAATTCATCTTTAAACATTGTGATGTGATCATCTCTGTCCTGACTTAAACCAGTATTTTAAACCTCTGTTTAATGTATTAAAATCGGTCTTTAGTTTCATGCCAATGGAGAGAAGCTGGACTGTCCAAAAGCATTGGGACAGTACTGTCCCTTCTGGCTCAACTGGATGATCTAAGAGGACCCTGAGGTCTGACAATAAGAGCATTAAACAGTGGTGATAAAGATAGTTCACACTTAAAAACTAGTTTTAGTGTACTAAACTTTACAGAGTAGATGAAAGTAAAAATACTTTGCTTCTTTATAGTGTCACAGTGATGTCATCTCTTTGGCTCATTTATCCAAAACCTTGATCGACTGATTATGCCATAAAATACCTGGCTTTAGTGTGGAGAGGGATGATGTAATGCAATATGAGAGATGTAGGAAAAAAAGGACAGAATTTGGAAACGGTAATAAAGATGCTGTGGATTCTGAGCTTATCTTGTTTTTTCACAGACGAACTAACACGCTGGCTTGAGACAAAATGTGGATTTTTATAAACTGCTTCGTTTCCTTCGCCTTTAACTGTCAGGGTTATTCCCTATAGGGGGGATCCCTTCTTTTTGTTAAAGTTAAATTGTAGTTTTCTGATCTCAGGTCAGAGCGACATAACCCTGACCGCCGCAGACCTTCCCTCTGGGGCTCTTCCTCAGTCATATCCGAGCCCAGATGTCCGATGCTTTCGGGCAGCTCAGTCTGAACACAGCAGGAACATCATGTCCAGGTCACTGACTGGTCGTTCCCAGCAAGAGTCCTCCACTCTTCAGGAACATTTCTTTAATATAGTAACTCCTGTCCATTGTTCATATTGTTCTTATGGTTTAAAGCATCTGTTTAACACAAACAAAGACTTCTGCTTGTTTGGTTTCCCAACCATTATGTTAGTATGTATGGAGCGTTGAAGGGTACAAAATTAAATAATGAAATAAATAAATGTAAAATGAACTAAATAAACCTTTCATTAAATGTCCCATTAAAGGGCTCATAGAATGATTCTATAGGGTATTTGGTGCTGGTCCTTAAGGTCTCTGAATAGGGTGTGTAACATTGGTTGGGCTGAAAATGGCATATTTGCTGTTCTATGAGCCCTAATGCATTCTGGTTAAAAGCCCTAGAATGAAACGACAGTTTTCTTCCTTTTATGGTATGCTCATGAATATTTAGATGAGCTGTGCGCTGATTGGTTGGTTTACAACAAGCAAAGCTGCTGAACAAAGATGCATCATAGCAACAAGCACTCACTCACTGAAACATCAAATTGTTGATATGGTAGGGTGACCAGACGTCCGCTTTTTCCAGGACATGTCCTACTTTTCATACCTAAATAAAATCTGGGGGGAATTTAAAAATCGTCCGGGATTTTGGTTGACTACAGTGCAGGACGTACTCTAAACACACCAGGCATTCGAACCGAGCTGTCAGCTCGGGGGCTGGTCCGGGAACCCTGGCGGATGGGGGCAGGGAGCCAGTGTGGGATGGACCGACCGAACCACACCCGGCGACAGTAGCCTGGATCAGGATTTTGAAAGCTGTCTTCGGTAAAATGCTTAGAGCAAATGAACAGCTGAGCATCAAACTCTGCAGGGATCTTCTGATATACAAAAATAATCCATGCCTGTCGAGTCTTCGGATCCTTGGGAACATTGTGAAAATGTCTTCACAGTCTGTATGTGAATGTATGTCAATTTCGGGATGTGACAAAAGTACAGGCCAGACCCAAACTAGGCAACATCCCTGAGTTAACATTAACTCGGGGCTTCGTTTGGATCTCTTTAAATAATTCAATGCAACACTCCTTTATCTAATACTTTAAACAATAAAATGTTCTATTTAATTATGAAATGTAAAGGTGTCCCATTATACTTAGTTTGATCTCATTTAACTAATTGGAGGGATATAGAGGCTGGATATTTTTCATGCAAGGTGCTATAAATAAATAAAATCAAAAACAAGGAAAAACCAGGCTTTGTTTGTGGTTCTCTCTATAAAACCTCAATATCCACACTATTTCTGACATTTTGAATTGAAAAAACTTCTTGGATGGGGAGAGAAATGTCTTCAAACTTGGAAACAAAGTCCAGTGGATTGTTTTTTTTTTTTTTACTTTTCTGAAATTCTATGGAAGCAGCTCTAATCCCACCCACTGAATTTGATGGGTGAAGATGACAGTTTCAATGATTTCATGATGAGTTTCCTTCTCACTCGTCTCTCGACTGAGAGATTGTGAGAGAGGTTTAAAGTGGGTGTTGTTGTGGAAAAGAGGAGATTTTGTTATCCTCTCCTCTCCAGTGGTTAGAGTGCCTCTAGTACTTTAAACTTCTGAAGTGTAAAATGTCCAAACCTGAAAGATCCTTGTGGTTGGTTCCTCAACTTAACAACCAAAATCTGAATGTGTTTAAGCCTAAATTATAAGCTCACCCTTTTCTTTTCCCACTGATGTTAGCTTATAATTATCTGCTGCTCGGTGCAGGTTGGTCAAATGTGTCTCTTTTCAGGAAAGACTGAAAAGAGAAAAGCGCAGAGCTAGCAGCTCCAGTGAGTGACTGTGTCTTAATTTCCTGGGTTTCAGGGCCTGCCGGCTGAAGAAGAAGGCTCAGCATGAAGCCAACAAGATCAAGCTGTGGGGGCTCAACCAGGAATATGGTCAGTACTGCTCCTCATTGTGTGTAAATTCAGTTCCTCTGGAGCTAAAGGAGCTTTTTAAATGGTTCTATATTTGTATTCAAAGCAAAGGCATATCTCTACACACAAATATATGGGAACACAGCATTCTGCTCCAAATCAAGCAGGAAAGAGAAATGATCTAGATTATCCTCACTACATGAACACCAGGCTTCAGTTTCTGCATGTTCTTCAACCTATTAACTAACCATTGCCCACCAGTGGGCCCTAGAGCGACTTTTAAAGGGTTAAAAAGCTTCATGTGTGAAACAAAAATGTTTGTCCTCACAATCATTGGACTAATATTCATTGCATAAGCATCAATTTTCTGAGAACTGCTTATTTCCCTTGAAGCATGGAATCAATAATCTTCTGGCAGCAGTGATCAGGAATCCCAGTGCAGCATGGTTTGACTACCAGGGTTTAACCACCCGGGTTTAACTACCAGGGTCTTACGACCAGATTTTAACTACCAGATTTTAACTACCAGAGTTTGACTACCAGAGTTTAACTATCAGAGTTTGACTACCAGGGTTTAACTACCAGGGTTTAGCTACCAGGGTTTAACTACCCCGGTTTAACTACCCAGGTTTAACTACCAGAGTTTAACTACCAGAGTTTAACTACCAGAGTTTGACTACCAGAGTTTAAATACAAGAGTTTAACTACCAGGGTTTAACTACCAGAGTTTGACTACTAGAGTTTAATTACCAGGGTTTAACTACCAGGGTTTAACTACCCAGGTTTAACTACCAGAGTTTGACTACCAGAGTTTAAATACAAGCGTTTAACTACCAGGGTTTGACTACCAGAGTTTAACTACCAGAGTTTGACTACCAGGGTTTAACTACCAGGGTTTAGCTACCAGGGTTTAACTACCCCGGTTTAACTACCCCGGTTTAACTACCCAGGTTTAACTACCCAGGTTTAACTACCCAGGTTTAACTACCAGAGTTTAACTACCAGAGTTTGACTACCAGAGTTTGACTACCAGGGTTTAACTACCAGGGTTTAACTACCAGGGTTTAGCTACCAGGGTTTAACTACCCCGGTTTAACTACCCGGTTTAACTACCAGAGTTTAACTACCCAGGTTTACCTACCAGAGTTTAACTACCAGGTTTTAGCTACCAGGGTTTAACTACCCGAGTTTAACTACCCAGGTTTAACTACCAGATTTTGACTACCAGAGTTTGACTACCAGCGTTTGACTACCAGGGTTTAACTACCAGGGTTTAGCTACCAGGGTTTAGCTACCAGGGTTTAACTACCCCGGTTTAACTACCAGAGTTTGACTACCAGGGTTTAACTACCAGGGTTTAGCTACCAGAGTTTAACTACCCTGATTTAACTACCCGGTTTAACTACCAGAGTTTAACAACCAAGGTTTAACTACCAGAGTTTAACTACCAGGTTTTAGCTACCAGGGTTTAACTACCCAGGTTTAATTACCAGAGTTTGACTACTAGAGTTTAATTACCAGGGTTTAACTACCAGGGTTTAACTACCAGGTTTTAGCTACCAGGGTATAACTACCCAGGTTTAACTACCAGAGTTTAAATACAAGCGTTTAATTACCAGGGTTTAACTACCAGGGTTTGACTACCAGAGTTTGACTACCAGAGTTTAACTACCCAGGTTTAACTACCCAGGTTTAACTACCAGAGTTTGACTACCAGAGTTTGACTACCAGAGTTTGACTACCAGAGTTTGACTACCAGAGTTTGACTACCAGAGTTTGACTACCAGAGTTTGACTACCAGAGTGTAACTACCAGAGTGTAACTACAAGAGTGTAACTACATGAGTGTAACTACAAGAGTGTAACTACAAGAGTGTAACTACAAGAGTGTAACTACAAGAGTGTAACTACAAGAGTGTAACTACCCAGGTTTACCTACCCAGGTTTAACTACCAGAGTTTGACTACAAGAGTGTAACTACAAGAGTGTAACTACAAGAGTGTAACTACAAGAGTGTGACTACAAGAGTGTGACTACAAGAGTGTAACTACAAGAGTGTGACTACAAGAGTGTGACTACAAGAGTGTGACTACCATGGTTTAACTACAAGAGTTTGACTACAAGAGTTTAACTACAGGGGTTAACTACCAGGGTTTAACTACCAGGGTTTAACTACCCAGGTTTAACTACCCCGGTTTAACTACCCCGGTTTAACTACCCCGGTTTAACTACCCAGGTTTAACTACCCAGGTTTAACTACCCAGGTTTAACTACCAGAGTTTAACTACCAGAGTTTGACTACCAGAGTTTGACTACCAGGGTTTAACTACCAGGGTTTAACTACCAGGGTTTAGCTACCAGGGTTTAACTACCCCGGTTTAACTACCCGGTTTAACTACCAGAGTTTAACTACCCAGGTTTACCTACCAGAGTTTAACTACCAGGTTTTAGCTACCAGGGTTTAACTACCCGAGTTTAACTACCCAGGTTTAACTACCAGATTTTAACTACCAGAGTTTGACTACCAGCGTTTGACTACCAGGGTTTAACTACCAGGGTTTAGCTACCAGGGTTTAGCTACCAGGGTTTAACTACCCCGGTTTAACTACCAGAGTTTGACTACCAGGGTTTAACTACCAGGGTTTAGCTACCAGAGTTTAACTACCCTGATTTAACTACCCGGTTTAACTACCAGAGTTTAACAACCAAGGTTTAACTACCAGAGTTTAACTACCAGGTTTTAGCTACCAGGGTTTAACTACCCAGGTTTAATTACCAGAGTTTGACTACCAGAGTTTGACTACTAGAGTTTAATTACCAGGGTTTAACTACCAGGGTTTAACTACCAGGTTTTAGCTACCAGGGTTTAACTACCCAGGTTTAACTACCAGAGTTTAAATACAAGCGTTTAACTACCAGGGTTTAACTACCAGGGTTTGACTACCAGGGTTTGACTACCAGAGTTTAACTACCCAGGTTTAACTACCCAGGTTTAACTACCAGAGTTTGACTACCAGAGTTTGACTACCAGAGTTTGACTACCAGAGTTTGACTACCAGAGTGTAACTACCAGAGTGTAACTACCAGAGTGTAACTACCAGAGTGTAACTACCAGAGTGTAACTACAAGAGTGTAACTACAAGAGTGTAACTACAAGAGTGTAACTACCCAGGTTTAACTACCAGAGTTTGACTACAAGAGTGTAACTACAAGAGTGTAACTACAAGAGTGTGACTACAAGAGTGTGACTACAAGAGTGTGACTACAAGAGTGTGACTACAAGAGTGTAACTACAAGAGTGTGACTACAAGAGTGTGACTACAAGAGTGTGACTACAAGAGTGTGACTACCATGGTTTAACTACAAGAGTTTGACTACAAGAGTTTAACTACAGGGGTTAACTACCAGGGTTTAACTACAGGGGTTAACTACCAGGGTTTAACTACAGGGGTTAACTATCACTGCTGCAGCAACAGAAAAGCTTCCCCACCTTCAAAATGAATCAAATGAAATGTTTTAAACAAACTTTAGATTTGTGAACTTAGTCCTCTTATAGCCAGAGCTAAAAATGAATTTCAAAACCATAAAATTTTAAATTGATAACTGGCTACAATTTTTAATCCAGTCAGTTTTCCTTTCTCTGAAACTGTTGCACTGAAATAACGACCTGATTACATCTTAAATCATTTATTCACCCAGTTTGGTTTGTTCCTCTGATTTCTGTCTACGTACTAAAATTAGATGTCTGCAGTGTGGAATCAGAAAAAGTATAGAAATAAATACATTATTCCATAGAGTAATGTAACCCCCGAACCCCCCACCCCGGGCTTTAATAAGGAACAGCATGTTTGATGTCACCCCACAAGTTCTGTATTGGATTAAGGTCTGGGATTGTGGCTGGCCTCTTTGTGGCTCTAATCTTGTTTGTCTGAAACCAAGATGCTGCTGGCTGACTGCTGTGTTTGGGATTATTCCCTCGCTGATCATCTTCCTCTAAAGCCAAATGCATCATGAGCTCTTTAAGTATTCAGATGTATGTGAACTTTTCCACAACCTAATAACATAATATGAGAATCGTTGGCATAGCATGATGCTTGAGCCACCGTGTATCAGTTTGGGATGTTTAAAAGGCAGGGGTTTGGAGGACATCTAAGAAGCAACCTGCCATTCATCATTACTTTAAAATGTTTCTATTTCAGATGCTTCAGAGGTTAGGGTTACACAGACAAAGAAGACAGGTGGTCTGAAAAGGGTGTGAAGGAAGCCATTTATGTTAAGAGAAAAAAAATCAACCTTAAACTGAGGGGTGGACTGAGGTTCCAGCTCTCAAACCCAACAACGCAGCGATAGAGTTGATTCCTTCCTTTCTATCATCTGAATTCTCATCTCCATCCAAGGGACCAAGACATTTCCCCTGGTCAGCCAGGCCAACAATGACCCTAACAACTCCGCTTTTCAGATGCATAGGCTAGTATGGGGTATTGCAGGCTAACAACGACTCCCTATTACTAAGGGGTGGACATGTTCTTCCGGTTCAATTTGCATGTTTTCTAAGTTTTTTTGGGCTACACTACAAAGCTTGGAACTATAAAGTTTCCTGGATGGGTAGCGAAACATCTTCAGACCTGGAAAACAAAGTCCAGTAGTTTGTTTTTTACCTTTTTTTGTTCCCTGGTTTTGTTTCTGGCATGGTGAAAAGATTTCCAAGGGTTTGGTGCCATTGCTCTGACAGTCTATTCCATACATTCAGTACCAATTAATATACAGTGGAAATAAGTTTAATGAATACTGAAATCTTTTTCTGTGGAGCTTTAGCTTCTAGTTGTTTGTTTGTACAGTAGACTGAGTGATTGTCTTTTAGTCAATGAGTCGATGCAATCAAATGGTTTTCCTTAGATAAAAAACTTTGAACCAATTTGACTGGATGATCTGGTGAATTGTAAAGTGCCTCGAGATGACGTGTTGTGAATTGGAGCTATAGAAATAAACTGAATTGAAACTTTCTCTCATCACCCGGGAGCT